GTAGTAGTAGTAGTAGTAGTGGTAGTAGTAGTAGTAGTAGTAGTAGTAGTAGTTATTAGTAGTAGTAGTAGTAGTAGTAGTAGTAGTAGTAGTAGTAGTAGTAGTAGTAGTAGTAGTAGTAGTAGTAGTAGTAGTAGTAGTAGTAGTAGTATGGAGGATCTCTCAGAATCTCTCAGAATCGTTCAGAATCTCTGCAGGAATCTCTCCGAGGCTCGCAGGGATCTCTCAGGACTCTCTGAATGTCTCAGAATCGATCAGATCTCTCTCAGAATCTCTAGGAATCTCTCAGAATATCTCAGAATCTCTCAGAATCTTTCAGAATCTTTCAGAATCTTTCAGAATCTTTCAGGATCTCTCAGAATCTCTCAGAATCTTTCAGAATCTCGCAGAAACTCTCAGAGGCTCGCAGTGGCTCTCAGAACCTTGCAGAGGTTGGAGCTTTTCAGAAGCTCCAAAGTGGTTGGGATCTCACGCGTCCCACGTGTCCTTGACGGTTGGGATCTGAACCGTCCGGTTGGGATCTCACGCGTCTGGTTGTGATCTGAACCTTTTCCCCCCCCCGACGACGGGTCGTGGAAAGGGGGGGAGGGGGGGGGGGGCCCTCGACGACGGATCGGGGAAGGGGGGGAGGGACGGGGGGGTGCCCCGACAACGGATCGGGGAAGGGGGGGGGGGGAGGGGGGGGGGCCCTGCCCCCCTCCCCCCCCTTGGGGAGATCCAGCGGCGCACCCTCGAGCCACAAGGCCCTCCCTTTCCTTTTTTCCTCCTCCTCTTCGTCTTCCTCCCCCCGCCCTCCCTCCCGTGCGACCGGCAGCCCCCCAGGAGGGCGCGCGAGGGAACCAGAACCACGTTGCTGGCAAAATGTTCGGGCCAAATTTTGCCAGGCCAGGGGTGGGCGGCAAGAGGATGGCGCCGCCACGCAGTCATCCCAGGAGAGCACCAGGGGCGGCCTGCTGGCAAAAATCGCGGGCTAATTTTTGCCAGGCCCCGGGGTGGAGGCACGATAATGTTATGATCACTGCAGGATTCAATAAGAATAAAAGCCCCGGAGGGCCCAAGAGGGCACCAGGACTTCCTCGCCGGCAAAAACCGAGGGCCAAGTTATGCCAGGCCAGGGGGCGGCGGCACGGAACGTCGCCATTGCATTCGGAGTGCGGCCCGGGAGGGCGCAGGAAGGGGCCAGAAGTTCTCTGCCGGCAGAAATCGAGGGCCAAGTTTTGCCAGGCCAGGGGGTCGCAGTGCGCGGGGGGGGGGGGGAAGAGAGGGGGAGGAGGAAATGAGGGAGAGGAGGAGCGACGACGACGACGACGATGACGAGGGGCAGTGGGGGGCCCCCGCCCGTCCCGCCGGACAGCGGCGAGTCGAAACTTTGTCAACCCACCGCGGGGTAAAACGCGGGGATATCCAAACGAAAACGGACCAGAGGACTTAGCAATTCTTGACGCCTCGCGAATCCCCGTCAGCCCATCCAGCGACGATCGCCAGGCGTTTTCCCTGGATGAGGGAAGTGGAACAGCATGCAGCGCAGAAGCGTGCAATAGAACAACATGTTTGGATTTACCGGAAGCGGGGCAGACGGCGTTAGACTTGAATTTGTTAAATGACATTTTCGGCGTACCGGCTTATCCTAAATGTTTTTGGGACGACCGTGGGGAGTTATCTTGCGGTTTTTGGCTAAACTCGCCACCGTGCCTCGGTTCTGGGTCAAAATCCCATTGGATGCATGTGCGATTGCAATCGCTACGTATTTCCCGCATTTCGGACTTCGGCCTGGGCACGGAACGTTGTGGCCCGATCCACCTGTGATTCGTGATTTGTCAGGGCGTGAGGCGGGTTGCGCGCTGCCACCGCCAGTGGCGGGACACGCAGATCGCGCCCCCGTGGCCCCCCAAGAATGGTGGGGGCAGCTTGTGGTCACAAGATCGTCCGCGACCACCCCCCTAGATGATACTGGCGAGTGCCGACTACAAGGCATCCCAGCATGCTGCCACTTGCGCCGCCGAGGTGCCGGGGGGGGCTCAGTGTCTGTGGCCGAGACGGTCGCGCGCAGCCGACGCGTGCGATGCGGGCGCCAAACGAGTCAACCCGACGCGCCAGAAGCTTGCCGCGGCGATGTGTGTCCGAAGCTGTCTGGGCCGGGGGCGTCGAACATCTGCCCGCGCGCGCCCTGCCCGCCGAGCGGCCCCTGAGGTGGGCGACCCGGGCGAGCAGCTGCAGCGAGGGGCAGAAGGGGGGGCGCCCGGGGGCCAGGGCGCGCCCAGGGCCGGGGGGGGTGGGAGAGCGAGCGACAGGGGACGACCGCGCCGATGGGGGGGAGAGAGGCGGGCGAAGCCCGGGGGACTGCCCGAGGGGCGAACAGGGGGGGCAGGCAGAGGAGCGACGCAAGACGGCGGAAGGAGGGGCGGCGACGCCACCCAGGAAGCAGGCGGGCGGGGGAGGAGCGCCGGAGTTCAGGCTTCTAACATAGATCACCAAAAACACATGATAACAATCCCACGTAGAAGCTCCTCTGCTGGGCAACATGTCAGAACCGGGAAGAGGGGGGGGGGGCGGAGGACTAGGGGTCCTCGCGGTTCGCGGCCCACGTCAGTCTGGCCGCTGACGCCCGCGAGGTGCGAGCCCCGCTCTCCTGCGCCCTCAGGCGCGCTATGCGCGCGGCGCTCCCTCTCGCCGCGATGGCCGCGATGCGATGAGGCATCTTTGTTCGCCGCCGCCGTTGCCGGCGCGCGGGCCGCGGCGCCCGCGCCCTTCGACGCGCCGCCCTTGGCATCGAACGCGACCGGCCTACGCTGGAGGCCGTGCTCACGGCGTCGCTCCTCCGTCCAGTTGCGCTGCCGTTGCTGCTCGTCGCGCGCCTCGGCCGTGGGCCCTGGCGCCGCGGCCGCGCCCGCCCAGTGCGACGGCGTTGGTCGAGGCGAAGGCGAGGCGGACCTTGTCAGCCCTCGCCGCGCGGCTGCCGTCAGGCAGAAACTGTGCTCAGGTGGCGCGGGGGATCGTCGACGCGTCTGCCGGGCGACGATGCTCGCCCGATGCCTCTCATGCTTCGCGCGCCCCGCGGTCGCCCTGCAGCCCCGCCGCCTGCGGCGCGGGGCGCGGCCCGCCGCGAGCAAAATAGTTGTCGGAGACGTCTCAAATTGCATAATGCGCCAGCGCGGAGCCCCCTCCGCTTGCGCGCGACAGGCGACGCGCGCCCTTCGCGCCCGGCGGGGCCGCGCGCGGCGGGCGCGCGCTGCCCTTGTCCAACTTATCGGCGCCGAGCAAGTCGCGACGTTGTCTGCGCCCTCGCCCGCGGAAAGATTCATGTCCAGTGTCCTGGATGGGGTGAGCTCGTGCCGAGTCCCCGCCCCCTGCGCTGAGTGCGCGTTCAATCAAAACCCGTCGGCTGGCTGGCCCTCCGCGCGCCATGCCTCGACCGCTTCGCTCCGCATCTTGCCGCGGCAGTGGTTGGGGGTCTCCCTTGGAATATGGCGGGCGCTTGCGTGGCGGGTGCTGCGGCAGTTGTTGGAAGCCTCTCTCAGAATATGGTGGTGGGGCGTTTCCCGTTGGATATGGGCGACGCTACGACGGCTGGTACTTCTCCTGCGCATGCGATGCGCGAGATAGGATGGAATGCGCCGGCTGCGCAGAATGGGCAAGGGGCTGTCGCCCTCCGCCGCCCCCAGCTCCCGTCAAACTGTCCGCTCGCCAGCCCTGCCGGGCTCCGGGGCTTCAGTTCGCCGAGGTATACCGCCGTGATATATGGCGCTGTCTGCGACTGGAATGAGAGCGAGTGGGGGATGCGAGCTGGGAAGCATCCGCGGCCCATTCATGCTCAAAGTTTTCGGGGGGTCGCACCTTGATGCTGCTCCCAGCTTCCGTGGGCGATCTCCTTCAGACTGCGGCGGTCGCTGGCGCGGTGGCCGGCTGGGCCGTCGGCGGCGGCGGCGGGGAGGCCTGTCCGCTCCCGGGGCCGTGCCCGCCGGCGCCGCCCTGCCCCAGCCAGACGTGCCCATCGCCGGAGCTGGTCTTCCCGCAGGCACTGTGCCCGCCTTGCCGCGGGCTCAGCTGCCCGGGCGGGCCGCCCATGGGTGGTCCTCGAGCTGGTGCTTGTCGGGAACGTTGTCGTGTCGGTGAGCTGCGGCTTCCTGTTCGGGGTAAGGCGCGGCGGACAGCGTGGCGGTGGTGCCGGCAGCCCGGCGCGGAGGCCTGCCTTCCGCGGTGGCGGTGTCATTGAGAGGCCTGATGCCCGGCTCTAGGGCCCTCGTCCGTTACCTCGACGCCGGTGAGGACCTCTTCCACGAGAGGGTGTGCTTGTGGCCTCTGACGGAGGTGGAGTGGGTCACAGAGTCGCCCGACGGGGGCCAGGTGGCCGAGGAGCTGGTCGACGGCGACATTGAGGAGTTCGCGGTTCTGGCGCCTGGCGGAGCGGTGCCGGCGCACGTGACGTCGCCGCGGTGCCGCTTCCGTGAGGAGGTGGGCCCGCGGGCCTTCAGGCTGAAGATGATGGAGGCGAAGCAGGTGGCCAGGGCGTCTACCCGCCCAGGAGACGGCGTGGTCGAGGCCCCCTCGTTCGCGCAGCTGTGGGACGGCCAGGTGGTGGCGCTGGATGACCTCTGGCTCGGTGGCGGAGTTGTGCCGCCCCCGCGCCGTGTGCGTAGCAAGCATCAGGAGGGCTTGGGCATCGCCGTGCGACGAGGAGCTGATGGTGGCGTCCCAGGCGTGATCCAAGGGGCTGCGACCCCACCTCTGGGGGATGACGACCGCAGCGCGGCGCCGGCCCTGGTGGAGGATGAGCCTGCCTACCGCTGGGTCGTCGGCGAGCCGATCGCGCTGCTCGCGATCGGCACCGAGTTCACGCCTGGGCGACCGCATCCTGCTGGCCGTGTCGGGCGCCCCCGTGTCTGGCGAGGCTGGCGAGGGCGCGTTGGTGCTGCGCCGGATTGGCGCGAGCGACGTGGGCGGCTTCGCGGAGCGCAGGTGGAAAATGATCCCCTCCTTGATGCCGAAGCCCTCGTCCAGCATTGGGAAGTTGACCCAGGGCCGGGGCGCGAGCTCGACTGACCAGGTCGACGACGGCGCGCGTGCCCTTGCCGTGCTGCACGACGAGCAGGCGGAGCGCTTCCGCTCATGGAAGGAGGCGGTGGGGAAGATGCATGAGAGCTTCTACGAGGACTGGCCCGTCGAGGGCCCCCGCGCCACGTTGTGGATGGCGAAGAATATCGAGCGGGCGGGTGGTTCACCGATGCAGTGGTATCACAAGTACCCAGCGGAGAATCGGATCGCCGCCTCAGACCGCCTCGCGTACGAGCTCCAGGCGCTGCGCCGGCTCCTGGAGCACGGGCTGCTACGACCGGCTCAACCTCGCCTCGCTGGCCGCGTTCGAGGTGCTGACAAGGGGGGCGCAGCTGCTGCTCGACGCGGCCAGTCGCGGGCCTGGGGGGGGGCCGCTTTGAGGGCGAGGGGCTGCGGTCAGGGCGCCAGCAGCGAACTGCGGGGATTGCCCCCGCCCTGACGGCTCACGTCGCCAACCGCGCGAAAGAGAATGCTGAGATTGAGGGGCGGCGCCAGAAGCCCCGAGAAGTGCGCGCCGGCGCCGCGAATCCCAAGGCAAAGGCGGCCGCCAAAGGAGGGGCTGGAGGCGCGGCTGGGAGTTAGCTGTGCGACGGCGGCTTGCAGGGGCCCCGCTGCGGGCCGCGCTTGCCGCAGAGGGGCATCGCCCTTGGGCGCCTTTCTCGTGCTCGGCGCGGCGGTCGTCGTCGCTCTGAGCCACCGCAACTTTTTCGCGATGCAGCCCGAGCTCTTCCCTTTGCCAGCGCCGGTGGAGGAGGGGCCGTGCCGTGCTGGGCTATGCCGAGGGGTGCGCCAGCGAGTCGCTCGCCGTCGTCCGTTACTTACCGTGCCAACGACGCCATCAATGCTTTGATTTTGCTGAGTGGGCGCGGGGAGAAGGCTTCACCTGGCGGCGGGGGCTCCCAGGCTCAGTTGGAAGCCGCCCAGCACTTGCGGGGCGTGATGCAGCGCTCTCAGGCTACTGACATCGTACCCCGTCCGCATGAAGCCGCCCGCGCGCATCTGCGTTCCCGAGCCGGCTACGACTCGGATGAGCACATTGTGAGCGACTACCAGGAAGAGCTGTTTTCGGTGCCCTCCTCGCGCGCGGACTGCCCGCGCGCGGTGGGCGCTGCGCCGGCTGAGGCTGCATCTTTGCTGGTCAGGCCTGACATCGAATTTTGGGAGCTGGCTGACAACTCTGAGCCGATCGCGCCCTACATGGATCGTACCTTGGCAGCAAGGGACCGGGGGGCGTACGTCAAGTTTGTCAAACGGCTGGAGTCCATGGGGATCGTGCGGCGGTGTACCTCGTCAAGGGACGTGCCGCCGTGTTCTGCGCCAAGAAGAAGTCGGGCAAGCAGCGGCTGGTGGTGGGCGCTCGCCGGCCGCAGCAATCGACGTTTTCGAGACCCTCCAGGAGTGGGCTGGCCACCGCCGAGTCCCTGGGCTGGATCGAGGTCGACGGCGACGCCGTGCGCGGGCGACGTTCGGGGCGCCTTCTACCGTTTCAAGATCGACGTGGAGCTGAGCCAGTACTTCGGGCTGCCTCCCCTGCGGGCCGAGGAGCTAGAGATCCACGAGGTGGAGGGGGAGTGGCTGTCGCCAGACCTTTGGGTGCACCCGTGCCTTGCGGCACTCTCAATGGGTTTCAAGTGGCCCCATCTACCTTGTGCAAGGGGCGGTCGCCAAGCAGGTGGAGTCCGCCGTGGGAATGTCCGCGGGCCGTCGTCTGCAGACGTTCGGCGGCTCGCGCCTGATCACCTCCGGCGGGCAGCCCCTCCATTCCCAGACATCGGGCTGTCCCAATTTTTTGGGGCATGCCCGAATGTTTTAAACATTGTGGAATGTTTTAATTTGGGTTTAATGTCTTAATTTTGGCTCAGATGTCTTAATTTTGGCTCAGATGTTCTAATTTTGGCTCAAATGCGCCAACTTGGGAAATTTTCCAATCACCACCATCATCACCACCATCATCATTATCCGCATCATCATCCAACATCGAGATCATCGTCATCACCATCATCATCATCACCATCGCAACACCATCGCCGCGTCGTCATTAGCAGGGTCGCATACGTTCAAGTCAACCAACCGTACATTCACAGTGTCAGTATATATATATATATACACCTATCTGTGCCGTGCCGCGCGGTGTTCGTGATCGCGCCGCGCTTGCCCCGCGCAGCCCCGTGGCTCCGCGGATGTCCCCCGCGCAGAGAGCCGCGTGGCTGCTGGCCGCGGCAGCGGCCATGGCCGCGACCAGCGCGGTCGAGCAGGCTTGTCCGCCCCGTTCTCACCCTCCGCCCCTCCACCCTCCGCCCTCCCCCCCCCCCCCCTCCCTCCCGCCCCCCCGCCTCCCCCCTTCCCCCCTCCGCCCTCCTCTCTCTCTCTCTCTCTCTCTCCTCTCTCTCTCTCTCTCTCTCTCTCTCTCTCTCTCTCTTCTCTCTCTCTCTCTCTCTGCGCGCCGCGCTGCGGCCGAGCGCCCAACTGGCGGTCTGCCAAGCCGCCTAGCCACGTGTCCGCACGTCGCCTTTCTTGTCGGGGCCTTCTTCGTCACGCGGTCTGACACGTGAGATCTTCACAGTCTGTCCGCCGTCCGTAGCTTCAGACGCAATGCGCCGGGGGAGGGGGTCTGTTGCCCGCCCTCGTATCTTAAGGCTGCACCGCCGCTAATAGTGTTTTGCGGGTTGTCGCACCGCAGTGCGCCTCGCGGACGGACCCTGGTCCGCCTACTTGTCCGGTCTCTCTCTCTCTCTCTCTCTCTCTCTCTCTCTCTCTCTTCTCTCTTGTGAGCCTATGTTGCGCGCCCCTCCCCCCCCCCCCCTCCCCCCCCTGCCCCCCCCCCGCCCTCCCTGCCCGCTCCGGTCGAGAGGCCAAGCGGGCGCCGAGGAACGCGGCGAAGAGCAAAGCTGATCCAGCCTTGATCGCCGAGGCGACCCGTGTATATATATATATATATATGTATATATGTATGTATATGTGCACAAGTATTTATATATATATATATATATGTATATATATATAATATATATATATCACATACATATAGGCATATCGACATGTGCACACAGAGGGGGGGGGGGAGAGGAGGAGAGGAGGAGAGAGAGAGGAGAGAGAGAGAGAGAGAGAGAGAGAGAGAGAGAGAGAGAGAGAAGAGAGAGAGAGAGAGAGAGAGAGAGAGAGAGAGAGAAGAGAGAGAGAGAGAACAAGAGAGAGAGAGAGAGAGAGAGAGAGAGAGAACAAACCACAAAACAGAACAAGACATAACAGCCAACTAACAGAGGGCGCTCTGAGGCGGGTTGCAGGAGCAGCACTCGGAAGCAGCAGCGTCGACAGGGTGGGAAATACAGAGGAAAAGGGAGAACAGGAACATCGGGGAGGAGGTCGAACAAATACGAGGGAGTGAGGAAGAGAGAGAGAGAGAGAGAGAGAGGGATAGAGAGAGAGAGAGAGAGAGAGAGAGAGAGAGAGAGAGAAGAGAGAAAGAGAGAGAGAGAAGAGAGAGAGAGAGAGAGAGAGAGAGAGAGAGAGAGAGAGAGAGAAAGAGAGAGAGAGAGAGAGAAAGAAAGAGAGAGAGAGAGAGAGAGAGATAAAGAGAAAGAGAAAGAGAAAAAGAGAAAGAGAGAAAGAGAGAAAGGGGTGGGAGTAGAATTCTAGAGGCCTAGAGGAGGAGGAATGCCTACAGATCGCCCCTCACCCAACCCCTCGCCCAGGCAATCCAGATTCAGTACGAGGGCGACCCAGCAGGAGGGATCCCACTCATCCAAGGCGCGACTCAGGAGAGTGAGGAGTAGGAGGAGGAGGAATCGAGGGCCATGGAGGAAGAGCGTGAGGCGACGATTGGAGAGTGAGGAGGAGGACGAGTTATCATGATGAGGTGGAAACGGGTATGCAGGAAGGGAGGTTACCGCGATGCGAGTGGCGAGGAGGACGAGTGACCATGATTAGAACGAGCAGGAGGAGGACGAGCGACCAGTGACCACGATGAGATGGGGAAGAATCGGGAGGAGGTGGGGTGAGCAGGACAAGCAGGAGGATCGGCGAAAAAAGGGCCAGGGGGAGAATGGGGAAATAAGATGATCGAGAGGATGAGTCGGATGTGCTACCGAGGAGTCGGATGGCCAGGAGGATGAGCGCAGGCACGACCGCGCCCGACTTCAGTCAGTACCGCTGCTCGCGCCCCGACCCCGCGCAGCTGGAGGTGCGCGGGGTGGTGATCGGGTCTTCGATGTTCCTCCTCCTCCTCCTCCTCGATCCTCCTCGTCCGCTTTGTTTCGTCTCGTGCTCTTGGCTGCCCGTTCTTCTCTTTGGGTCTGTGTCCTCCTCATGCTCCTCCTCTTGCTCTTACCTCCCAGTCCTCTTTCCGCCTCCTTTTTCCTCCTTGCACTTCCCCCCTTTTCGGCGGCGGCGGCGGCGGGCGGCGCGGGCGCCCCGTGCTTCCTGAGTTTGCACCGTGCCCTGACCCTATTTCCCCGCAGGGGTTTCTGCTCCTCTAGCAGTATCCCCCTCCCCTACTCGTTCTTCATTTCCGATCTCGTACCCTCTCCTACGTGATCCTTTTCCTCCTCCGCTACCTTGTTCCTTCCCCCCCCTACCCTGCCGTCGTCCTCATCTCAGCCCCTCGCCCTCTTCCCATTGACCCATCCCCATGCCCTTCTAGAAGCTTCTGCCAGGAGGCAGAAGCTTCTGCCTCCTGGCAACGCCCAGCCTAATCCGATCCCAACCCTCGGACTCCAACTCGGCGGGGGGAAGGGCAGGTGCGGCGCCTGACCCTCGAAGCCCTGGGCGCCCTCGGCCAGGGCAAAACGGTTCAGTCAGAAGGCGATGGAGGCGGCCGAGGGGTTTGAGGGGAGTAGGCACCATCGGCCTCAATGGAAGGAGCAGAGGAAGGAGGAGGAAGCGGGGTAGCTGGGGCAGAGGGGCCCCGTAGGGCGTGATGTCGGTGAGATCTCTCTTCCTTCTTCTCTTTCTCTCGCTCTATCCCCCTCGGATCTCTCTCTATCATCTCTCGCTTGACTTTGGCAATTCCACTGCGACGCGCGCGCGTGCGTTGGGGGAGAGGGGAGAGAGGAGAGGGAGAGGGAACGAGAGCGGGAGAGAGAGAGAGAGAGAGAGAGAAAGAGAGAGAGAGAGAGAGAGAGAGAGAGAGAAAGAGATAGAAAAGAGAGAGAGAGAGAGAAAGTGCGTGAGAGAGAGAGAGAGAGAGAGAGAGAGAGAGAGAGAGAGAGAGATATCAAAAAAATTACCCCCAACAACAACGCAACGAATACGAG